TTTGTTATAGATTTGTGATATATAATGCTACATTATCATCATTATCATCATCATGCTCATCACTGGCACCCACAGGTCTTATGAAAGTAGAAGCACAGAAGGATAAAATTCTCAGTGATAATAAAAAGCAAGTGCCGTAGTTGCGCTGCATGCTAGGGGGGGTCTGGGGGTATGACCCCCTTAAAAAATTTTGAATGGTAGACGTCTGGAGACGCAATCTGGTGAGTCTTGCGAGAGAGATTTAGGAACAAAATGTAGGAATAAAATTGTTTAACCCAAAATTTACTGGAAGCACTGCGCTTCCAGTGCTTCTATCTGTGGGCGCCACTGATGCTCATCGCTATCATCAGCATCATCAGCATCCCATATCTCATGCCATATCTCATGCCATATCTTATGATGTATAGCTGGATGAGATGGACCAGGCTATGACACGCACCATAGTGCAGTATCAGCAACGCAGAGAGGTAGCGCGGCAGGGAATCGCACTAGCTTCGCGCTACCAGGGGGAGCTGATCTTCAGTACTGGACAGGTATGTACAGACCATCTACCTACGGGCGGCGGCCTGTCTCGATCGTCTGTCTCGTACCAGGCGACATAGGTCTGTCTCAAACCACACCACTCTGAAAACTGATGGATACAGTAATATCTGAGCAAAAATTCCCCCCATTTCGACTAAACAGAAAATTCTCCCCTTTAATTGCCGCAGCGGGCAGCGCTGTTGAACCTCTTCCTTGTGCTCTCCCTTAGTAAATACGGTGATGAGCTCATCATGAGCTCATCTAACCAGTAGGTGGCGCAACCTGTCAGGTTGGGAAAGGCAATGGGGATACCCTATCTTTCAAGCCTGCTTGTATCTTTTATATTTTGTTTCATATTGTAGTAGTAGCAAACTCTTAATCGGATAACATTGACAAACTACTTCCATATATTCGTGGTTGTCTTCGTGAACGTATTTCCGTGAAGGAACCACTGAAATACTCGAATGTACACGATTGTGTACATAATTTACACTGATGTTCTCGACTGTGACACTGCAGGTGGTTCCCTTTGCCGATCTAAACGATACGACGTGGCGTCAGCTAGGCAGGCTGGATGTTTTATACGTCGAGGCGAACGAGTCGTATCGGAATCTGCTGGAGATGGTTCACCAGGTGTCCGATGCAGATCAGATCACTCAGCAACTAACCGACTTTGTGCAGGTACGAGTATTATTGGGAGTGATTCTATCATAAGATAAATCTAGAATCTGTTTATGTCCATCTAGATCGGCTGACCTGCTGACGACAACCAGTTTCTATGTCAAACTGAATAAAGTTGCTTTGAGCTGCTCACAAATATTAAATATCATTGTCAACGTTATTTAACGAGATTTGTACACGTGTATATTTCTAACCGAGGCTATTATTTTTCCCATATTATTTTTGTGTTTTGTTGAACCTTGGCAGTTATCTTGCTGATCACATTCTGTTGCTTCTGTCTCACAAATATGGGTACGTGATGAGGATAGCTTACCTTGCAATGCTCGGTATGACATAATACGTACAGATGCCAATGATTGTTATGTGGCAATAAAATCATTTACAATTATATTTTAAAATTTAAAACAATTAAAATTCAATTTCTGTCTTCCTCTATGGAAAGGCCACCTGCCTATAAAGGCCACCTAGGCATTTTGACTTCAGTGGCCATTTTATTTGGAGTTGGCTGTACTCAAATTGGTTTCTGAACATTTTTATTGCAGGCGGTGACAGATAACCTAACGGAGCTAGCCGACAAGCGTAGAAATGTAGAGTTTAATCTTAATGAAAAGGAGCTGAACATCCAGGAACTCAACGTTGCTCAGGAAGAACGATTGGCCAGCGTAACACAAGCGATCAACGGCTACGACAATAAAATTCGCGTTATCTACAACTTTCTAGCAGATGTCCTCGTAGAGGTGGATGTATTGGAAAATAGGTAGTATGTCCATAGTGTGATAAACAGTCACACAGTTAGTATAGAGTGGGAATGTAAATAATGCATGTTAATGATGCTGTTATGCATTGTTCAATTTTGTATTTGTATAGTGTAGAATGATTGCCCTATATTATTATATAATATGAATATTAACACAGTCCAATATCATAGGTTCATGGTAGAACTCGTAGCAACATATATTCAAATTCGTTTAGCAAAGTGCCGATTTCACTCTGTCAACTCTAGTAGTCTGCTGGTTGGTGGGTGACGACGATAGTGACAGATAATAATATTAGAATGTGTGTGTGTGTGATTTTAGAAATAACAGCTATTCCCTTAATTGTTGCAGTAATGCTTAAATGCGAGGTATTTGTGTTTTGTCATTCCATTTAGAACGGACGATATCAGACTGATGTTGGATTCGAAGTCGTTGGCTGCAGAGGCATTATTAGAGAGAGCGGAAACCCTATCTTTAAACATTAGTAATGCCTTCGTAGATGTGGAGATGGCTGAGTCGGCTGTTTATACACTTGAGGTAAGGGTGGTCATCGTAACTCCTATATCTCGTAGGCAAAAATGTCTAGAGCGTTATCAAAACTATGCGGTAGAAAAATGTAATCCATAAGTGTGATAAGGTGCTTAGTAAATTAAATACCGTTGTAATAAATCGGGTAGTATATACTCTTTGACATGAACACATGTGACAGTTAGATAGTACAGTGTCCTTGAGGTGTCCTCCAAGAGTGTTCTTTCTATATCTTCGCATAGCCTTTCTATGATGCCTCTAAAGTTCCAAACCTATGCATAGCTTTGTACAATATAGCTTCATTCATTTGTGACACAGTGAGCTAGGTTATTTTTCTTCCTTGTAATTTGGTAGCTTCTCCCATCGAGATGTCTTTTAAGCGCATGCATCAATAAAAAACTAAACCTTGTAAATCTAAAGGGAATTAAAAGGTTGTCAATAACTAAACAACTAAACCTTGTAATTCTAAAGGGAGTTAAAAGAAGTCTCTTGGCCACTTTGGAAACCTGTGCCAATAGCTAAAAACTAAACCTTGTAAATCTAGAAAAAACTATAAGAGCTTGTCAATTAGGTCGAGTCTCTCGGTCATCGATCTATCTATATGTTTGTCACACGTTGCAGGAAGCTGCATCGGCCATGTTTTAATAGCTAAAAACTAAACTTTGTAAATCTAAAGGGAACTAAACGGTTGTCAAATGTCGAGTCTCGCGGCCATCTATCTATCGAAACTAATCCTTGTAAATCTAAAGGGAACCAAGAGGTTGCCAAAGGTTTCGGCCATTCATCTATCTATCGTCTGCGTGTGACGTTGCAGGGCGCTGCGTCTGCCGTGCTGTCAGACATAGCAGACGCGCAGGAGACGGTCGCTGGCTACCTGCAGACGACGCAGCTCGTGCAGAACCAATCACAGGTCGCACTGAACAGATCCAACCTGGTCATGGCTACACGACTGCCACCTATCGACCAGGTGACTGACACATGTTTCCATTTGCGGCTTTCATGTCTTGCAGCAGGGGTGAATAATGACAAACCAGGTGACAAGTGACATTTTGTCATTATGCGCCTTTGATCGCAGGAATATATGCCGTGGAGAGGCGATATGGGCTCGAATTTATTGCGTAATCTACTATGTAACTTGTAAGCTAAATACACTGACACATGTTGTCATTTGTGGCTTTCTTGTCTCACGGGCATTATATGTTGTGGACAGTCGATATGGGCTCAAATCCATCGTGTGATCTACTATGTGACGTGTAAGCTCAATGTATAGTGACCTGAGTGGGTTGCTTTGAATAATTGCAGTGTTCAGTTTATCACGTATAGATGAAATTTGTCGTAAATGCTAAAGCTTATTCTTCGCATACAGATATTCACATACAAAACATAACATACATGATATAACAGACGAAAGACTGATATACCAGCTGTTGTGGAAACAATTTTTGGAATAGGTCATCAGATTTTTATATAACGAGTGAATAAAAATGAATTTGCTATTTTACGCGAGATTCACAGATAGTATTCGTAGATGTAGTTTATATTAGATGGGTACCCGATTCTTATATGAATGTACATATCTTAAACTCCCCATGTGCCGATTTTCAGCCTTTTGTCAAAAAGTGCACAATTATATCCTCAATCGCGTGGTGACCGTGTTTTCTGCACCGTCAGTTGATGGCAGTGACGCGGCAGATCAACCAGATGTCGGTCGACGACGACATTCTACTGGATGCGATCGTGACGTCACTCAATGCAGTCAACGATGCGCAGCATATAGAGCAGCTCTCTCAGCAAGCGATGTGAGTAAGGGTAGTAAGCAGACAGGCAGATAACAACAAGAATATAGAGAAATAAAACTATATTCTTGTTGTTTGTGCACAGCGGCGTGCGCGCGGTGTACTTGTGTGTTTCAGAGGAGCATTTGAACGGCATTTACAGGAAATTATCGGCAATAATAGGTGAAATAGGGAAAGAGGGAATATAAAAGGCAGTCGAGAAACATTATAAGACTTTGGTAGTAAATACATTTCGTGTTTATTTACTATCATTTTACTATTGAAACGTTCCCAGTGCCTGTGCTGCTGTCATTCACAGTCTGTGAGGCCTGATGTACGTGCGGACATTGCTGCGTTAGCAGACATTTCTGTAGAATGGACACGCGTTTTTTAATAACGTTTTCAGCTGTGTAGTGGCAGTTGGGCAGTAGACCCATGTCTGTAGACTAGACACCTGTTCGTTAAGGATAGTTTTATTGTTGTCTTTTATTGACCCTTCAGGTTTGTTTGTAAATATATGTGTGCGCGCGCGTGTGTGTGTGTGTGTCTGTGTGTCAGTCGGCGGTTCGTGGGTGGGGGCGGGCGGGCCCGAGTGTGTGTGTGTTGTGTGTGTCTCGTGTGTCGTGTGGGCTGTGTGTGTGTGTGGTGTCGTGATTGTGTGTGGTCTGTGTGTGTGTGTGTGCCGTGCGAGTGTGTGCTCTGGCTGCTGTGTGTGTGGTACTGATGTGGTTGTGGGTGTGTGTGTGTGTGTGTGTCGTGTGGGTCGCTGTGTCGTGTGTGTGTGTGTGAGTGTGTGTGTGTGTGTGCTGCTAGTGTGTGCATGCTTTTTGCTGCATGCGTGAGTCCGGTGTGTGATATGCGCATGGCGTTTCTGCGCGTGCGTGTGCGTGCGCGAGCTGTGTGCGTGGTGTGGGTCTCTGTGTGCGTGTGCGTGTGTGCATACGCTTGCGTGCGCTGTTGCGTTGCGTGCGTGTATGCGCGTGTATGTGCCAAGTAATGCGTTGCTTGTTTTGTGTGTAGAGAGGAAGCCTCAGCTGACCTTACAACAGGCTGAGCCATCATCAGTGAACACATCAGTACAGTGAAGTTTGCCTAGGTTAGGCATGCGTCCGCCCTCGCTGTAATCGCGACTCACAGGGCCACGAAAACCACCATCGAGCAAATGCATCGACGAGCGGTAAAACCCTGCATGCCGCATTACATTGCTAGTATATGTAGGCGCCGTGTATGAATGAATTCTACCACCAATGTAAGGTAGTACTTAGGATATTGGTGCGTAGAATAGCTCGTTGTGGGCATTACATATTAAGTATTATATGAGGTCGAGTTATGACGTTTATTGATGTATATGTTTGCTATACGAGCGTTTTGTATATAAATTGAATACACACAGCGAAACCCTGATTATATCAACCACACATCTTAAACTAAGCTTTAGATTCATTATTATATATCTTATTACATATTATGTTATACGCAACATAATTTAAACACTGTTTTACCATTTTGCAACAAAAGCTCGTTGCATTTCCTCCGATCGCCGACACAATGACATATTAATGTGGCTATTTTTATACGCCGTCGAAGCCAGCTCTGACGGTGTTACTGACGGTGTACTGCCGGTTATTACTAAACGCATGTAGCCGAGCCTTTGCAAGCTCATCGTTGATATATCTTTTAACCAATTGCTACCGTCTTTAAATAATTAAATTTAATTAATTTGAATTAAATAAATAAACCAAGCTAGCGATTCTCACGCTGCCGATACAATGAACATAATACTGTGACTATTTTATACCGCGTGAAACCAGCCTCTGCATGGTCGTTACATGACGGCCGTTACTGACGGTTTTACAAACAATGAGGAGCTTGCAAGCTCATCTTGAAATTCCATATCTTTTACAACTGTACCGTATTTAAAATTTAAAAAAAACTATAAATAAATAAAATAAAATAATTTAAACAGCTCGTGATTTTCCTTTGCTGCCGATAATGAACATATTACTGTGACAATATTTTATTATGCCGCATTGACGCAGACTCTGGACGCCGTGTTACTTGATGGTGAGGAGCTTGCCCAGTTTATATTATCTTTACGAATATACGTTCTCTTAGTTAATTAATAAAATAAAATAAAAAATAGCTCGTTGACATTTCTCGCTGCCCCTGCCTGCAGCGTGCAGACCATCGTGCAGGCCTGCGCTGGGTGATAACGCAGGGCGAGCGAACTGCCCTAGGAGCCAGCCTGTCGGCGCTACAGAACGACGTCGACGTCGCCGAGCAGTGTCTGGACGTCGCCAACTTAGAAGCCATGCAGTATCACGACTCCGCTACGATCGCCAGCACGCACGTCGACCAGGCTGCAAAGGTACGTGTAATATGCACACTCTACGTCTGTCTCGCAGCGCTAACGACTTGTGACTTGCACAGTTTAGCGTCAACAGTGTGGTATGCGCATACGTGTTGTATATTGGTGCGTGAGTATTGTGCGTATACGCGAATTTCCCCGCCCCTTGGTGTCTGCATTGTAGAGCTTGGGTGCCAATTTGAAGGCTCCCGAAATAAAGGCAATTAATAATATGTAAATGTGTAACGCATATTATTGTATCCCCCGCGCACGAAGTCGGCAGGCGATACTATGGTTTCATGTCTCCCCAGCCGCCCGCGCGCGCTCGGTCCGCGCCCCAGAGAATTTCCCTTGCCGCTCTAATAACCTCTGACCCTAATTGACGCCTAGCGTGACCAAACTTGTAACTCATACACATCTTGGCGGCGCAGAAAGTGTAGCAGAGTACAAAACCAGGTCACTGCGACCTTTATCTTGACTTACTTTACCTGATTACTATCTTCCCCTTCCACTCTCTAACCGGCCCTAATTGACTGAGCACGCCTACCAAAACGCAGTTCACTACTACATTTAGTTGGCACCTTTACTTTGACCTTGATTCATAATTTCCTTCCGCTCTCATAACTCGGCCCCTAATTCACCTAGCCGCTTACCAAACTTGGTATACTTACACATTTGGGGGAATGTGTGTTGCGATTCCCGTACAAAAACAAGGTTCACTGCGGCTTTATTTGACCTTGACCTTGCATCTTTGATCATATTTCTCTTCCATCTATAAATCGGCCCCCTAATTGGACCAACGTGACCACTTGGTATACTTCACATCATTGTGCGAAGAAGGTGTGTCGCGTACCGAAACCAACAGACCTTGTGTTTTAACGGTGCGCGATCGCCCGCTCGCGCGCGCCATCGCGCTGCCTTGATTGATCGAGAGTAATGCCGAAAAAAGCCGCATCTAAGCATTATCAAAACTTACACCTTTTTTTTCTTTTTTTCTGTTGTTTTATTTTTCATTAATTCACTTTAACTCGGGTAGATAACGCAAACGGTTGTAAACATCACGGGACATTGCCGGAAAGTCGGTTCACATGTTTATACGACAGCTCGCAAGCGCCTCTAGAACGACGAATGCTGATTGGTTGTATTTTTGTAGCATAAAGTTTTAAATAGTCTGCCTTTGAAAAATTGAGTGTTGTTCCTTTTGACTAAACATGGCTAACATGTGCTGATTCAAGTTATCACATGCTTCAATGAAACTGATATTTTGTTAGTCATGAAAAAAAAATCACCTAAAATGTCAAAATTAAGAGCTACAAATGCAGAGTCAAATTTTTATTCCCCAAAGATGGCTGGAAATTGCATTTCATGAAGATCTGCGTTTATCAAATATTTTTCCGGGGGGGCGCATAGCCCCGAACCCCCTAGTTTGCTCGTGCCCTGTGGGCCACTCCGATGCAAATCACCCACACCTTCGGCGCAGCTAAGGTGCTGCGGATTTATTCACTCGCCTGCCTTTTCCGCAAAACCACAGGAACTGCAAACAGGTTACTGTAACACTTAACTTTTGACCTTGACCTTGACTTGACCTTCATCATATTTCCTTCGCTCCATCAAACTCAGCGCCCCTAATACCTTAGCGCGACCAAACTTTGTATACTTACCACATCTTGGGACCGAGAATCAACGGGGCGATACATGTAGCTTCGGCGACAACTGCCCTGTTCTAGTTATAAACTGCTTCTGCGTGACAGACGCTGATGACGTGTGACTGTAGCCACTTGGCATTTCAAGATACGCCCAGCGTCGACTGCCTGCTCGCGTGACAGTGTAGCTGTCTATGCCAACTGGCGTTTCGAGATAGGAGGATGCGAGCGCTGGCTGTCGGTATGAACTTTACGTGGGAATAAAACGGCAACTGTAGCCCGAAAACAGTTCCTATGTAATGAAATGTACGAAGAAGACGTGTGCATCGCGTTGATAGTGTGCTTGTTGCAAATGTGAGATGAAACATTGAACTGCATTGGACTGCAATTGTCGGTTGAACATTGAGAGTTACGTTTTATTATTATTATGCATATGGTTGTTGTTGTTGTTGTTGTTTGTGGTTGTTGTTGTATGTTGATATTGCTGTTGTGTTGTTATAATTTGGTGTTGTTCATTGTTGTGTTGTTGTTGCTTACGCTACCTTATTAAGTACATGACAACTGTAACGCCCGCTGCGTCGTCCAGCTGTGTTCTGCGTGTAGTTGCACAACAAGTACGGTGGTTGGACGTCGCGAACCTGACGCGCTACGGAAAGGCTTCTACAACAGGACGTCGACGTCATGCGCAACGACCCTCATCAGGTCTGAACAACACCGCGTCAGCAAATACTCGCCGAACATCACGAGCATCGAGCAGGCGGACGACCTGCCAAGGTACGCTGCATGTAACCTGCATTAAGGGTCGCACGCTGCACGCGCCACGCGCAATGTAACCTGCATATAAGGGTCGCCGCTGTACTGTGCTGCGCTCATGTAACCTGCATATAAGCGTCGCACGCGTGTACGTGCTCGCGCTCATGTAAACCTGCATTATAAGGGTCATACGCTGCCACGTGCCCACGCGCATATAACCTGCATTATATAGGGTCACACGCTGCACTGTAGCCAATGCGCCATGTTAACCTGCATATAAG